GTGGAGTGGATGTCAGTCTCATGACCACAGCCGGTTGTCCCCAGCCCTTTGCTAGATAGCATGCCCCACCCGGACCAGAGCTTTGAGCTTGTCATGAATATTCCTTTATGTAGGGAAGGCAATAGCTTACGGTCATGGAATTCTCTGTAGTGACTAGAGGGCCCCCACATTCTCACTCGTTACTTATCCTGTACTTAGAGCTGTTCCTCAGACCTTTCTGCAACCAGGGTCACCCGGCAGACCCCCTTTCTACAGCCGTGGCATTGGCTGAGCAAGGCTCAGCGGTAGCGGTTTCACAGCTTGGGTTCTCCAGGTTACACTCTGGCAGCTGTCATGTCAGGGTCTGTTGAGGAATCCTCTCGCACAGTAGAAGAGATGGGGTATTAGTCCTGATTTTCACTCCCTCGGTTTAAAATACATAGTCCTGGCTAGACGCGGTCACTCATGCCTGTAATCCCAGCACTTTGGGAGGCCAAGGTGGGCGGATCACTTAAACCCAAGAGTTCGAGACCAGCCTGGGCGATGTGGTGAGTGAACCCTGTTCCTACCAAGAAAACCAACCCCTCCCCGCAAAAAAGCTGGGTGTGGCAGCGCACGCCTGTAATTCCAGCTACTCGGGAGGCTGAGGTAGGAGGATTGCTTGAGCCTCAGAGATGCCCCTGTACTCCAGCCTGGGTGACACAGTGAGACCCTGTCTCAACAAGGTTAACTATTATACATCTATACTTCAGCTTGATTTTCTCAAACAGAATGCTACATAACCAATCAGCACCCAGATTAAGAAACAGAACCTGGCTGTCCTCCAAGAACTCCTGGCCCCTCCCCCACCAGGAGTAACCACTATCCTGACATGTAGTAACAGAGTTTCGTTCCCTCTCCTTTTCAGGGGAGCCACGCAAAGGCTTTTAATCACTTTCTGGTTTTAAAGACTTGCTCATAGGTAGAGACAGTTGTTGAACATATCCCCGAGGGTTGTGACTGGAGATTGCAACTTGTGGCTGATGACGACGCAGTCTCCTGGTCAGTGAGACCGAGTGGGATCTTTACATATCCCTTGGGCTTAACTGCTGATTTATTTGGGAACCGGAAGAGCAAAGGGAACCAGCATTTAGGTGCCTGTTACGTGCCTTGCACTATGCTAGGAGCTTTACATGGTTAATTCTCACAACCACACTGGAGGCCCGCAGTAGGGTTCTCGTCTTACAGCCTAAGACACTGGCTCCTGAGGATCAGAACCCAGTGTTGCCGGGCACACTCCAAGCTGGCCTGAGTCCAGGCAGCACCAGACCCCTTCTATCACCGTTGCACTGTAGAGCTTCTCCCCGTTTTCCTTCCCCTTCACAGCTTGTGAGTTCTTTTGCATTTCCAGGTAAGGTCAGTATCTTCTCCTTAGGAGGAAAGGTAAGAATCAAGGTACCTGCTAGTGTGGTCAGCAAGCTTAGCGTTGATCATTTCCATTGGCCTTGGATATTCTCGTGGCCGAGGGCAGTAACACTTTTTTACTAAAAGCAACTTTATCTTTCACTAAAAAGACTCACTGGCTGAGAGATTAAGCAAGTTGATCTAGCCTATAACACGAGCTAAGCTTCCATTTTTTTTTTTTTTTTTTTTTAGTTTTACAGGGATGGGGTTTTGCCGTGTTGCCCAGGCTGGTCTTGAACTCCTGGCTCAAGCAATCTGCTGCCTTGGCCTCTCAAAGTGCAGGGGATACAGGCATGAGCCACTGCTCCTGGCCAGCTTCTAATTGTTTTAAAAAAAAAAATCTGATTTAATGTTAATTTTACAGCTATATTTGCATTTTCCATTTCAGACCCACCACCATTAGGGAGAGACAATGGAACCCACAATCGTAGTCTTGTAATTATTCTCATCATGAAAAAGATGTTTTAGTTACCGTACAAAATCTGAGCATCTTCTAACTCCTGACTCTTAAATTGCACCTGGTATAATTATTTTTTTAAAATGTACTTTGGAAATCATCACATACTCATGAACACTAAAGCCTATAGGGTATGGGGTTTTATGGGATTAGATAATCTGTAATTTAGTGATAGGCTCATCTGACCAGAGCCGTCTTTCACACTACCATTTGTAGACAGCAGGACCTGGAGTCCTCCAGTACATGATGCTGTACTGAGGGACTTATCCACTGCCACTTTTTCAATGGCCATCTTAAACTGGCCATACCCTTAACTCTAGCCAGAATCTCTCTGACGCTCTGGCATTATCCTTAGATAACTCCATTTCATGTCCAAAGGTACTGGAACTTGGCTGGGCACGGTGGCTCGTGCCTATAATCCCAGCACTTTGGGAAGCTGAGGTGGGAAGTTCACTTGAGGCCAGGAGTTTGAGACCAGCCTGGGCAACATAGCAAGACCCTGTCTCTGAAAACAAACACAAAAGTATTACAACACAAGCAGAGCCTGAATGGATTTCCCATCCACCACGGCAACTCAGTTCTGACTGCCCTGGACTACCAGGAGCATTTGTGTCTGTGCGCCTTTGCTCAGATTATGGCATCTACAGAAAATACCCTTTTCGGTATTGCAACAGCTGCTTTTGTTCACGTGAAGCCAAGAGTGCAAGCAGGCAGGCAGGTAGTAGGAGCAAGCAGGGAGACGTGAGCAAAGATATGGTAGCCAGGCCCAGGTCAGAAGGTACCGTGGGAGGCAGAGGCAGTGAGTCTTAAGGAAAGAGGGAGAAAAGGGGAAACTGTTGAACTGAACCCAAAAAGATCTTAAATGTCCAGAGGAACAGTAAGAAGCCCATTCTCCCCAACACAAGGGGCCTCACAGAGTCTTGAACTTCAGGAGGAGTCCCAGCTGGCTCTGCTGCATGTCTCGGCAGACGACCTTGGGCAAATCACTCTCTTGAGATTCAGTCTTTTCCTCTGTCAAGTGTGGAAATTGACTTCCTAGGGTTGTAGGAATGAAAACAAAATCATGCTGGCAAAACACAAAATGGTTCATCTGTCTTAACAAGTGTCTACTTGTGTCAAGTGCTGGGGAAACGAAACTTCCCTGAGGTGTCTTTTATGCTGAGCCTTAAAAGTTGGACTTTTCTGGACGAAAAGGAGTTGGGTGGCTCGAGTAGAGACCCGGGCGTGTGGGGGACAGGCTTGAAACGTGGTGTCCCGAGAGCGCCAGGTGTGAGGCAGAGATGGCGCAAGAGGATGGAGAGGCATATGAAGTCAGATCACAAAAGGCCACACTATCTGAGGCACAGGAAGCCATCGAAAGCAAAGATCTAGAAAGATCATTCCTGTGGCAGTACAGTGGATGGACTGGAGAGGACAGACTTAGAGTGGGACCAGAGCCTTTTGGCAACATGTACAAATGGAGAAATCAAGAAGAAATGGAGTTTAGCCTGAAATTGTTTGTGGGGATGGTTAGGTGGAAGATTTAGACCAGGACAGATCTAGGGTTGACAGGTAATACGGAGGGGCTGACTTGGTCTTAGATGAAGGATGCTGCTGTGTGAGGAACCTTGTTGGGGACACCTAGGAGGCTGGCAGTACCCTCCAAACCATGTTGGGCCAGTTGGAGTGTAGGGTGTCCACAGCAACATGGGACAGGAGGCAGTATTTATTTGTGGGCTTTTTTTTTTTTTTTTGGAGATAGAGTTCTCACTCTGTTGCCCAGGCTGGAGTGCAGTGGTGCGATCTCGGCTCACTGCAACCTCCGTCTCCAGGGCTCAAGGGATTCTCCTGCCTCAGCCCCCTGAGGAGCTGGGATTACAGGCATGGACCACCACGCCTGGCTAATTTTTGTATTTTCAGTAGACACAGGGTTTCACCATGTTGGTCAGGTTGGTCTTGAACTCCTGACCTCAAGTGATCTGCCCGCCTTGGCCTCCCAAAGTGTTGGGATTACAGGCGTGAGCCACTGCACCCAGCCAGTATTTGTGGGCAGTTTTTTTTTTTTTTTTTTTTTTTTTTGTGAGACGGAGTCTCGCTCAGTCGCCCAGGCTGGAGTGCAGTGGCCGGATCTCAGCTCACTGCAAGCTCCGCCTCCCGGGTTTACGCCATTCTCCTGCCTCAGCCTCCTGAGTAGCTGGGACTACAGGCGCCTGCCACCTCGCCCGGCTAGTTTTTTGTATTTTTTAGTAGAGACGGGGTTTCACCGTGTTAGCCAGGATGGTCTCAATCTCCTGACCTCGTGATCCACCCGTCTCGGCCTCCCAAAGTGCTGGGATTACAGGCTTGAGCCACCGCGCCCGGTCTGTGGGCAGTTTTGATAACCAGTGTGAGCCATTCATTGTTGTCACTAGAAGGCTGTAAGTAAGCAAACACTGAGCTAGTTAGCAAGGGGTCTGTCACAGCTCCGTGCTGCCGTCACAATCACCTGCTCATTTGCTACCTTTCATTGTCACCTGGGGAGGAGGGCAAAATGGAAAATCCTTCAAGGTCAGGCACGATGGCTCACCCTGTAATCCCAGTGCTTTGGGATGCCAAAGTGAGTGGATGGCGTGAGGCAAGGAGTTCTAGACCAGCCTGAGCAACATAGCAAAATCCTGTCTCTACAAAAATACCCCAAAACCTCAAAAATCAGCTCAGTGGGCCGGGCACGGTGGCTCAAGCCTGTAATCCCAGCACTTTGGGAGGCCGAAACGGGCGGATCACGAGGTCAGGAGATCGAGACCATCCTGGCTAACACAGGTGAAACCCCGTCTCTACTAAAAAAATACAAAAAACTAGCCGGGTGAGGTGGCGGCGCCTGTAGTCCCAGCTACTCGGGAGGCTGAGGCAGGAGAATGGCGTGAACCCGGGAGGCGGAGCTTGCAGTGAGCTGAGATCCGGCCACTGCACTCCAGCCTGGGTGACAGAGCCAGACTCCGTCTCAAAAAAAAAAAAAAAAAAAAAAAAATCAGCTCAGTGTGGTGGCACATGCCTGTAATCCCAGCTACTCAGGAGACTGAGGTGGGAGAATTGCTTGAGCCTGGGAGGTCAAGGCTGCAGTGAGCCAAGATCACGCCGGCTGTACTCTAGCCTGGGCGACAGAGTGAGACTTTGTCTAAAAAAAAAAAAAAAGAAAAATGCTCAGAGACTGTAACATATTAATCTTTATGACATCAATGGTATCAAGCAAACTAGCCAAAATGCTTATTCAACGTCTTGGCCAAGTTTAACCCCTTTTCATGCAACCTAGACCACATTTTAGGTGCAGTGAGTGTTAACCAAGAACCAACTGCTGCTCTTTACCCGCCGCCACTGAGTCGTGGAGGCAGAGGCTCAGGTGTGTTCAAGAATCAGCTTCCTCCCTAACCCACGGCCATGGCCCAGGAAGGCATCACTGCTGGAGGTGTCATGGACCTTAACACTGCTTTACAAGAGGCCCTGAAGGCCGCCCTCATCCACGATGGCCTAGCACGTGGAATTCGAGAAGCTGCCAAAGCCTTAGACAAGTGCTGGGCCCATCCTCGTGTGCTGTCCCCAACTGTGATGAGCCTGCCTATGTGGCTGGTGAAGGCTCTTGATGCTGAACACCAGATCACCCAAATTAAGGTTGATGACAAGAAACTAGGGGAAGGGGTGGGCCACTGTAAAACTGACAGGGAAAACCCTTAAAGTGGCTGGTTGCAGTTGTGTAGTGTTAAGGACCATGGCAAAGGATGTCATCAAAGAGTTGTTTGAGATGGAGTCTCTCTGTCACCCAGGCTGGAGTGCAGTGGCATTATCTCGGCTCACTGTAGCCTCTCCCTCCTGGTTGCAAGCAATTCTCCTGCCTCAGCCTCCCAAGTAGCTGGGATTATAGACGCGCACCACCATGCCTGGCTAATTTGTGTATTTTTAGTGGAGACGGGGAGGGGGGCGGGTTTCGCCATGTGGCTCAGCTGGTCTTGAACTCTTGAACTCAAGTGATCCACCCAATTCGGCCTCCCAAAGTGCTGGGATTATAGGCGTGAGCCACCGCGCCCGGCCCTTCTTTCGTGTTTTAATTCAAGGGAACTTTGCATGTACTAAGTTTTCAAAAATATATGTTGAAGGAACATTTATATATATACTCCGACACACACCCGAAGCCAAATTGTGTTCACAGCTCTCAGACTTACTCATAGATTTAGAATCTCCCCAGGTACTTGGTCTTAATGGAATACAAAGGAGGTCCTAAAGGGGCTTTTTGTCCTAGTGGTCAGCTGGAATGTGGGAAGAACAATTTCAACACAAGAGCAAGTTGTTCTGGTAACACTGTGGCTGACAGTATTTACTTTTAAATGGAAGTGAGAAAACATCCGGGAAGGGGGCACCCGGATTTGAACCGGGGACCTCTTGATCTGCAGTCAAATGCTCTACCCCTGAGCTATACCCCCTTCACCTGCTGGGCACTCCTTCCTTGTCCACTTATGGTGACTCAATACAATCAAGTTCCACCCACACTAGAGTTCTGGCAAGCTTTGTGTTCTAAAGCCCCACCTTCTTAATTATCCATCATCTGCTTTGGCTTTTCCCTTGGCCACCAATAAATTGAAAGGGAATACTTGAAAAATGACATCCTGGGCTGGGCACGGTGGCTCACGCCTATAATCCCAGCACTTTGGGAGGCTGAGGTGAGGTCAGGAGTTTGAGACCAGCCTGACCAACATGGCGAAACCCCATCGCCCCTAAAAATACAAAAAAATTAGGTGGGCGTGGTGGCAGGCGCCTGTAATCCCAGCTAGTAGGGAGGCTGAGGCAGGAGAATTGCTTGAACTCTGGGAGGCGGAGGTTGCAGTGAGCTGAAATCACACCACTGTACTCCAGGCTGGGCTAAGAGTGAGAGTCTCTCTCTCTCTCTCTCTAAAGTGTGTGTGAGAGTCTCTCTCTCTCTCTCTCTAAAGTGTGTGTGTGTGTGTGTGTGTGTGTGTGTTTTGTAAAGATAGGTTTTCTGCATGTTGCCCAGGGTCATTTCAAGGGATCCACCTGCCTGAGCTCAAGCAATCCTCCCGTCTCGGCCTCACTTCAGCCTCCCAAAGTACTGGGATTACAGGTATTAACCACGAAGCTTGGCTTTTGCTCTGTTCTTGATGGAACAATAGCCAGCTCTGACCTGCGGCTCTGCTCATAGCTGGGCAAGTGCTTTATTGAGGTTGAGTAGTGTGGCTCCTCCTTATCCCACTGGCAGGGGAGAACTGAAGCCTCTCCTTTCAAACCTGGCACTCGTTGGTATGGAGTGCAAGGGCGTAGGCCCGAGAAGCCCTTTCTCCCCTCATCACCTTTCCAGGGGGAAGAGAAGCCAAGAATAGAGCTGGCTCCTTCCTCCAATCTCAGGGAAGAAACAGCACACTTGGAGACACAAATTTTTTTCATGTAAAGTAACATTGAGAGTTCATCTAAACATCTGTCTTAGAAATTCAGGTTGAGGGCTATGAAGGGAAGAGATGCTGGTAGAACAGAGGGAGGTGGGTGACCTCGCCAAAGACGGATGTGCTCCGGCAGAGAGCTGGGGTGTTCCCGCGGTAGTCAAACCTCCCACTGAACCCACTGACCGCTTTCAGACCAGCACTGCAGTGGTCATGCCCAGTCCCCTGCTGGAGAGGATGCCCTCGGGGGCGAGGAGAGAGGCCTGAGCCTGCATTCAGTCCACCTCTTGGCTTCCCCATTCCCCTGGGTGTGGTATGGGATGCCAACCAGGCGTAGTCACTGCATTCCTCGTGCCCGCAGCCGAACATGCAATCCTCAAATGTCGCGAGCCACTGGGTTGAAAAGCCAAGGGCTGGTAAGGTTGAGGCACAGGCTTCCTAGAAATAAACCCCCGCAACAGGAATAATTGCGGGGAGACTGTGAACGGTTTGTGCTGGGACAGGAGGGGTCAGAAATTCTGGCTTGGCAGAGCTGGGCTTTCTCCCACGAGAAATGAGAAAAATGTTACCCTTGTCTCTGACCCATGTGGAAAAAATGGATGGGCTCAAAATCAACTGGACCAAATGTACAAAGGATCATGCGACTAGAGGAGTGGCCCAGGATGGTGGAGCTGGGCTGGGAGGAGGGTTTACCCTATTAGAAAAATCTCTCCCAACTCTTTCCCACTGTTGTTCATCTGGGCCTAGAAAATGAGCAGGACACAGCAGTGAGGGAAACAGGGCCTTCAGAGTTGGGAAGAGTGGAATCTTAATCCCAGCTCAGCCCTTCTCGCCAAACCACTTTAACTCAAGAAACTTGTTTCCCAAACTGTGCTGTGGGGTTAGTGTGAGGGTGAGAAGCGCCTTACAAATGGCTCATGTCTGTGATGCCAGCACTTTGGGAGGCTGAGGCCAGAGGATCACTGGAGCCTAGGAGTTCAAGACCAGCCTGGGAAACATAGGGAGACTCCATCTCTACAAAAAATAAAAAATTAACTGAGTGTGGTGGTGCACACCTGTGGGCCCAACTGCTCAGAAGGCTGAGGTGGGAGGATTGCTCAAGCCCAAGAGGTCAAGACTGCAGTAAGTAGTAACCGTGCTACTGCAATTCATGCAATCCAGGTTGGGCGACAGAGTGAGACCATGTCTCAAAAAATACAGGGCGGGGGGGCTGACATACAGTGGGTGCTTATTAGCTAGTATCAGGCAGCACTGTGGCACCATCTGCTTGTGTATGTGAAGAAAAGCTGGAAGGATGCAGTCCCTGGGCCTCTTCCCCTCAACCAGGCTTCGCTATGGCCTAGGAACCATGATGAGGCTGGAAATGGAGGCAGCACTTGCCTGTTCCTGCCCAGCTTCTCCTGTTACGGTATCTCTGTCCTTTCCCGAAGATGTGGATGTAATCCACTATCCAGCCATCCCTTCCTGTACCACCATGATCCTGAAAGTGGGGAAGAGAATACAGAAGACTGTCAGCCACCCACAATGCTGAGAGGGCACAGTACAAACTGCCCTGGGGTTTGCTGGTGGGAGAGGGAAGAGGTCACAGCCTTAGGTAACTCAGGCGGACAGATTAAATATATTTAAGAACCGAGCCAGGTGCGGTGGCTCAAGCCTGCAATCCCAGCACTTTGGGAGGCTGAGGCAGGCAGATCACCTGAGGTCAGGAGTTTGAGACCAGCGTGACCAACATGGAGAAACCCCATCTCTACTAAAAATACAAAAAAAGTAGCTGGGCATGGTGGTACATGCCTGTAATCCCAGCTACTCAGGAAGGCTGAGGCAGGAGAATCACTTGAACCCGGGAGGCAGAGGGTGCAGTGAGCCGAGATGGCGCCACTGTACTCCAGCCTGGGCAACGAGAGCGAAACTCCATCTCAAAACAAAAAAACAAAAAACAAACAAAGCAGGCTGGGCACAGTGGCTGACACCTATAATCCCACCACTTTAGGAGGCTGAGGCAAGAGGGCCACTTGAACCCAGAAGTTTCAGGGCTAGCCTAGGTAACAAGGCCAGACCCATCTCTACAAAAAAATAAAAAACTTTACTGCCAGGCGTGGTAGCACATGCCTGTAGTCCCAGCTACTCAGGAGGCTGAGACTGCAGGATCGCTTGAGCCCAGCAGTTTGAGGCTGCAGTGAGCTGTGATCATGCCACTGCACTTCCACTCTGGGTGACAGAGTGTGGGACTCTTGTCTCAAAAAAGAAAATTAAAAGGCTTTTTCAAAATGTGTACACCAGATTATTTTCAAGCCTTTAAACATTCAGGTTCTTCCTTTCTCCCTCCCCAGACTGTGGTTCCTTCCGTCGTAAAATTACATGAGTTGATGCCAGGTGTGATGGCTCATGCCTATAGTCCCAGCACTTTCGGAGGCCGAGATGGGCAGATCACTTGAGCTCAAGAGTTCAAGACCAGCCTGGGTAACACTGTGAAACCCTATCTCTGTAGTCGCCGCTACTCAAGAGGCTGAAGTGGGAGGATGCCTTGAATACATAAGGTAGAGGTTGCAGTAAGCCAAAACCGTGCCACTGCATTCCAGCCAGGGTGACAGAATAAGACCCTGTCTCAAAAAAAAAAAAAAAAAAAAAAATTTGGTTCTCTATAGAATACATTGTATTAGTCAGGGTACTGGCAGGAAACGGATGGAACATTCAAGTGGCTGAGTCTACCTAGTGAGGCATCCTGGGCCAGCAATAGTGAGGTGTGATGACCAGCTGTAGGTCTGAAGGGACAAATGGAGAGTTGCTGGAACCTGGCTCCCTCTGAGCACTTTCCAATAGAAGTGGTGGGTTTTAGTTACAGCCACCCATAGCCCAGCCAGAAGGGAGCTGGGGAACCAGCAATCCCACCTCCCTCTTCTCTTGCCCTGTGTTCTGCTGCTGCTTCCCACGGGCTGAACCTACCTGGCTGCTGCGAGCCAGGGAACCCTGACCTAGTCCAGAGGTGAGTCTCTTGGGCATGCACAGAGCAGGGTGGAGATGGAGAGATGATGAGGGCAGAGTGGGTCTGGAGGGGCCCAGGGAAGCTCTCCAGGAAGGCTATGAAACCTGGTCCCAGCAGCCCAGGCTTCATGATCTCCTGAGTCATTCACAGAAGCGCACGTCACACCATGATTCTTTTCTTGGTTTATTGTTTGGTAGAAAAACAGGCTCTTTAACACTGAATAAACATCTCACAAACCGTCGCTCCTAGACTGCAAAAAGTCAAAACCAATTCACTTTGATGCCAGGCCCTTGAATCTGACATTCAAGTCACTGTAGTAGAAACCAGAGCTGCTGTACCTTAGACGTGCTTCAACAAAGGCATGTTAAGGACTGTTTAAAAC